TGGTATACAATGAGAAAAAAAAAAATCACACAACAAGCTATAGCTAGACTGGAGCCAAGCACCGTTTTTCTACTTTTAGTTTGACAACACTAGGCTTTTTTTTAAAATCCCAACCTACCCCCCAGAGCATGTGAATTCATATGAAATACACTTTACAGTGCACATAATATTTCAATCAAAAAGACTTACAGTGGTATATTCAAAGTAGTACAGACAATTGTCATTCAATATAAACCACCTTCTTTTCCAGCTTTTGTATCTTCCACCTGTAAACATTCAGCAAAAAAGTTACTTTGAAAGCTGAGAAAAGTTTTAATTAATAGATAGTAAGTAAATCTAAAACAAGAACAAATCAAACAAAATAAAATGTGTGTTAAACTATGACTTTATTAAACATTGTTTAGTATAGTGCAACATCGGCATTAAAGATTTCATAAATAAACAAGATAGGTAACAGTTTATAAAAAACTATGTTTATATAACTTAACTAATTCTGATTCAAGAAGTGTCCACGCCAAATTCCATATTAAATATCTCTTCCAGCTGAAGTGTATTACCTCTCTTAGCTTAGAATACATTCAATTCTATAGCATAATTATTTTAAACAAAATTGGTACACAACAGTTTCGTTACCTTGCTTCCAAAGCCAACCTTCTCTGTCAGGATTAAAGAATGTGTGCATTAAATCATTCCCGTCATCTTCTGGAATCTTAAAGGGCTCTTGTTTGATGCTATCATACAGACTCTAGAGGTAAATATATTTTTAACTGTTACCCGTGCCACTTTTGAAAAATGTTTTTTTTTTCTTTTTTTGCATGTTGTGTACAATCATGTAGTTGAAAACAATTTAGACACACAAGAAAAGGTTTATTCTAATAAAGACATGAAAACTAAGGCCTAACCAGCTAGATGCCATAAACACATCAATTAATCTTTATGCTTAATCAAGCTTTACCACTAGGCCTAACCAACTAGCTGTCATTAGCACATGAATTAATGTACTTTTTAATTAATGTATTTTTTAAATTCATAATCCACAAATTAATGAGGGAATTTAAGTTACTTACCACCAATAACTCCCTCGGTAAGTCACCGCCATTGTTGATTCCTCGGTTCATGTTGATAAACTGTTCAACAGATGGCTTATCCTTGACACTAGGATTGTGCAGCGAAGTATTTAACATGATAACAGCAAACGACAGCACATAACAAGTATCTAAAATAAAAAATACATTCAAAATCATATGATCACTTTTCTTTTATAATTTATCAAAGGTTCCACAACAGATCACAAAATTATAAGTTATGAATAAAATTCCAAAAGTACCCAGGACAAGTATCATGTTTCATGTTATTTCACTAGGTCTTTTGATCTGGAAGAAGAAGAAGAAAGAAGAGAAAAAAAAAACAGCTCTGATATGAATTAAACAAATAAACCACCAAACATTTTCCTCTTTAATAGGTCTGAAGCAGAGAGGAATCTTTAAAGTAATTCTTATTTATGGTATAAATAACTTTGGTAACTGATTCATCAAGTGAAAAACGAAGTTTTATAATAAGTATTAAAACATGGTAATACCAAAAAACATCTTTAATACAGATGTTTCTTCAAATTCCATAATCAGTGATAAAATCGCAAAAAAAAAAAGTTAGTTCATAACATTCGACCTACAAAAAACAACATTAGCATTGAGCGAGCTTTCATATTCAAACAGAAATTTATGAAGAACAGATTTAAATTGTAATAATACAATAAAACACGTGGCATACACCTTTAATAAATAACACTGTTAAAAGAAACCATCGTGGAGAAAGGCTTAAATTTAAGTATAAACATGGTATCTTTACAATTATAATAATTATCAAATAAAAACACTTAGAATCTGGAATTGATTACATGAATGACAACAGGGAGGAGATGATGTTATTATTTAGAGTTGCGTGATCAATGAAAATGAAGAGGCTTTCTTTAATAAAGAGTTCGTACTTTGGTAGTTTTAAATATCGAATCTTGTAAACGTATAAATTACATAAAAGCTACTTGGGTTTATTCATGCCAAAGCTAATTATTCATTTATAACAGCTAGTTATAAGGAAATCACAGTAGCAACAAAGCTAATAACTTTGTGATACATAATATTTCTCACATTTACATTTAAATGTCCATTTTAAGTTTTTGCTAACCTTTTTAATTTTTTTTAATACTAAGATTCCTTACAATGTTCTATTTTCATTGGATAATACACTCCCGATGTTACAGCAATATACTATAATAAATAACGTAAGAAACAACCAGAGTATAATTTTTCCAGTAACTACCTTTAACTTTAAATTAATTTCATACTCAGTTATTTCACTAATATTTTACATATTCATCATAGACATGTTAAATATAGGAAAAAAAAAAAGGGGGTGGCTACAAGTAAAAAATACGAGGTTGACTCGCAAAGGGATACAATTAAAGAAAAGTATTATAAATATTTAAATGGTAAGGACTGGCTTTGAATTTTTACTTTTCGAAGTGAGTAGGACAGTCTCACGAACCAACAGGCCCCATGTTGTCCTTAAATTCAATGTTAAAACCTTAAAATATTATGTAACAGCTGCATGTCCACCTAATGATACAAAAGTTAGTCTGTGTGTTGTTTGCACTTTTAAAATCTTTAACCTTGTTTACTATGTAAAACAACAAATATATATATATACTGACCAGTGTTACTAAAAACTTCAGGATTCAACTGACAATAACGCTGAGCAAATTTTTCCATCATTCTATCAATTTTCTGAGCTTCTCCTGGCAGACGAAAGCTCCACAAGAACTGCCTGAAAATAAAATATTATCATGTTACCATTTTAAACACACCTGTTTATTCGTTTTTGGCTTGCTATTGAAATAAGTGACAGAAATGGGAAATGAAGAAAAGCAAGTAATTAGACCATATTGTCCTTTTTTTATTAAATAAACTTAGTGTCCAAAAACTGTATAATTTCAAAGTCTAAGTTCCAGGGAGGTCCAGTTCAATCTACACTTTGATCAACAGGTGTTATTGGGTTATACTAGTTTCGGAGAATTCCACTCTTCATCAGTAATCATGAACACAAGTTAGCCAAAGAGTGATAAGCTGGACCTATATCATAGCGAAAGTATCAAATATACAGTTGGTGTGAATGTGCTTTGAAGTCACTATTAGAAGAATGTATATACTGGATAGGAGTAGTGAAGAAAAAGTGTCATTGGCCACTATTCAGTTCTTTACATTATATAGCCGTACAATAACATATAATAAATAGACTTAGTATTCAGACACTTTTTCTTCACTTCATCTATCCAGTGTATAGGTTCTTCTCATAGTGACTACAAAGCATGTTCACACCTACCGTACGTTTCATAATTTTGTTTGTTAAATTTCCTAATTTGACGACAGTGTAAAGTAACATGAAAGAGTTTAAAAGTTCTTTCTTCCCCAATCCAAGTTAACTAGAACTACTCAATAAACAATATTATACATAACTTCTTTTTTCCATTAAATCATAGCATTTCGTGTGAGTTTTGTTAAAAACATTTGTCGTTAAAGTTCTTTTGCATAAAATGATCATACTTTAACCACAGGAGCATATGAATGTTTTCACGAGTTCTTATCATAAATAACACAATGTTTTTCAAACTTAAAACATACCTTTCAGTGTTTGTATCAGGCTGTAATCATGGAATAAAATATTGACCTTATACTTGACTTTAGGTTTTAAGTATACAAATTAGAGAAATACTTCCCTCAACTGTTTTTTCTTCTTTATTAAAAAGGGAAATTCTAAATGTAAGAAAACTTTTTCTTTTGATATTGAAGTACCTGAGTGCCTGCACCAGGATTAAATCTGTGAAGTCATGAAGTGACACGAAGGAGTCGAGTACTTCCATGTTGAAGTCATTCCTTAGGAGAGAAAGAAAAAGTGCCTTCTAAAATTTTTTTTTTTTATTTAATTCGCTAGAATCGAGATGTTTAGATTCATACTTTATCTCTTACATGCTGGTTATTACAGCACACTCACAATCAAACTCGGTCTTAACGATAATTACGGTCGTACTTCGAAAAAGATATTATAAACTTCGAGAAAAATCATTAAAAGCATAAAGTAACTTCAGGTGGTTTAATACAAAAGTTTATCTAAACAAATTTCTAATTACGTATTTTTAAAAACAAGAATAAAAATATAGTTGAACAAACTGAGTCACTTCTTTAAAAACATTTTATAAGTTGATGCTTTTTTTACAAGTAAAGGTTGAAAAATTATTGTTTCAACACACACACAAATATAAATATATATACACACAGAAAAAAAAACAGTACTAAAATAATCACCTTTCTCCTAAATAATCCCCTATGGCAGTTTTATTCAAACCCTCTTCTTTGTATAGAAACTGTGCTACATCCTGGGAGGTGTTTTCGAGTTGATTGTGATCTATCAGATACTCTATTCCCTGGTGGAAGATTTGAGAAAAAAAATATTGCTAGCAGGATTATACAGTAGGTCAGGACACTCAGACGTATTCAAATAGCAATGCTATACCAGTACAATAAGCATCTTTTTATTGAAAATATTTAAAGACCTAATGTAATCAGAGTAAGTATTCCTGATCATTACTTGTTATTCCATTAGTCTCTAATGTGAAGTATATAGCCTATCAAAAAACAAACTATGTTTCAATTAAAAGGACAAGTAAAAGACTCAGAAAGATATTCTTCATTTGAAGAATTACATAAAATTGTTTCAGAAGTTTTATTGAATTATTTTTGGGTCAAAGATCAATACATAGGTAAGTCTCAAATGCTGGAGAATTGAAAACGTTCTTAACACAATAAAACCGTGTACAAAAATAATTAAGAAATTAAATAAACAAAACTCTTACACAGAGGAAAATAACTGCAGCTACACCATTCAATATTTTCAACTGTTACAAAGTTAGCTCAACTATTTAATGTATTACACCATTCAATACTTTCAACTGTTACAAAGTTAGCTCAACTATTTAATGTATTACACCATTCAATACTTTCAACTGTTACAAAGTTAGCTCAACTATTTAATGTATTACACCATTCAATATTCGATACTTTCAACTGTTACAAAGTTAGCTCAACTATTTAATGTATTACATCATTCAATATTCGATACTTTCAACTGTTACAAAGTTAGCTCAACTACTTAATGTATTACACCATTCAATACTTTCAACTGTTACAAAGTTAGCTCAACTACTTAATGTATTACACCATTCAATACTTTCAACTGTTACAAAGTTAGCTCAACTACTTAATGTATTACACCATTCAATACTTTCAACTGTTACAAAGTTAGCTCAACTACTTAATGTATTACACCATTCAATACTTTCAACTGTTACAAAGTTAGCTCAACTATTTAATGTATTACATCATTCAATACTATCAACTGTAACACAGTCAGCTCAACTACAGTAGAACTTCGATTAATGGGCACTGCGACGTTAAAGGCAGACCTTTTCAGTCTCTTTCTTTTTCCTACAATTTGTAACCAAAATAAATCTTACAACAACAGGCACCTTGATATTCAGAATTAAGGACAGTACCTTTAGTCTCAATCTCTATAAGGGCACAAGTGGGCAGTTATCTTTGTATGCCTGTATGATATACTGCCAGATTCCAAACATCCTAGAAGGATGACCAATATTCAAACAATTGCAATGTTTATTGGATCATCTCTGAACCATATACTGTAATGAAAGTTTTCACAAATTCAAAGTACAATCTTATTATTCTGGGGAATTCTCATTGTAAACACTGTAGGATACATAAGCTGATAAATTCCATGTTGTGTTCTTGGAGCAGGGGTCAAGTCGGCTTATTTCTGTGCATGTGAGTATCGTATTACGGCATCACATAAACAGTCTAATGACACGAGCAGTGATTTGTTGCTTTATTTTCAACAGGATTTCTGTTTCAGTTTTTTACAATAAAATAAACGTGAAATGTTTAGCAGTTCAAACTTTGAAGAGAAGTACTTTTAAACTTTTTGACCAATAATTTTGAAAAAAGGGCACAGCTAATCCACCCTCCGAGACCTCCTGTTGATAACGCTCCCAGTCACTGTGATGTGCAATTCACAAACACCAGTGTTCTGTATACACCAAACAAAATGAGGGGGCCTTACAATTCAGAAATTTAGTACGGTCATTATGGAATTCAACTTTGTTTGGTTCATTTTTTATATTAAGGGCACCTTGCTAAAGAGAATATTTCGATGCAATCAGAAGGGTGCCTTTAATGTCGAGGTTCTACTATACTTAACATGTTATATCATTCAATATTATTGATTGTAAAACAGTCAGCTGAACTACTTAATATATTACACATTCAATATTCTATACTACAAAACAGTCAGGTAAGTAATCAAAAATCTCCAAAATCAATATATAATTGGTTCTTCATATCCACAACTACACTAACTCTAATAAGGTTTCAGTGTGATCAATGGTATTATGAATATGG